CGGCTTATGATTGTTCTTTAGTTTTTTATTTTTTTTTATAACAGTCAAGCAGGCGTATGTGGAGTTAGGTTTGATGTCAGTGCTTTACTTATTTGCAAAATTCTCAACATTTAAAATTTCTCTTTCTCGTTCTAGCGATTGGTTATTATAGCATTTTGTTAAAGCCACGCCTTGTCTTGAGTTATTTACCACTCTCATTCCAGATGCTTAAGTATTTAGTAAGGAGCGGGGTGCGTTTACTGTGCGAAGGTGAATTTTTTATTTATTATAAATTGCTTGCAAAAAACTCTCTCTCACTATTGATTGACTCCTTGTATAACTCGAACTACCCGCAGGGTACGAAACCGCGTAAATACGTTACTATAACCCTTAGCTTAGCTTTATTGAATCCAAACAATTATCTAGTGCGCAGTTGTAGATTTCTGCAATTGTTTCATTGTATTGATGGTCTTGAGCACTTTAACAGCAAGATAAGAAAAATGGCTGCGCGCTCTCTCTCTCACTCTCTCTCCCTCTTTCTCTATGTTTTCGTTGTCTCTCTGTTTGTATTCTTTGCTTTTGCAGCTACCTACGCTAGCAAAAATAGAGAGGTTGGTATGAAGAGAGCATTGTTTGTGAGTGTTTCATTTTCAATTTCAATTCATTTTAACGGTAAACTAATTGCTTCAATAAAATACTGCGAGATTTTTATTGATAGGAAGTTTTGAAATTCCAATATTTCTTTCCGATCACATTTTGAAACTGATCGGAAGCAATTATCATAAATAATGAGTAGAGGATGGTCGGAATGAATAACAATTTCCAGTTGTTTCCGTTTAAAACGGCAACGTTTCCTACTGCGGTCGGATTAGGAAGATGTGCTGCGTTCTCTATGCCAGTTAGCAATTAGTTCTACGTTACCGCTATGGTGGGACGTAAAGCGACGGCAATGGTAGCAAAACACATCAAAATAATTTACGCTCACGGAACCAATGTAAAAAAGACTTCTACGATTTGGAAAGTATTAAGGTCTTCAGTATCATTTTCCAAGCCTTGGTCCTTAAGAATCGTGAGTTTCGGTTAGCAGTATGTGCGTAAAAAACATCCAAAATAGGGCAAAAGTTTTGATTGCATAGCACGTCTGCTACACTTGAAGGGATTGAATTGCAAGCAACGGTTCTTTTTGTTTGTAGGCAGTATAGTCTTTGCGAAGAACAAGCAAGCTAGGTAAGCGATATTAGAGGCCAATACATTTTCGTTAGTTGAATGTTGTGGGAAATTGATCTGGACATCCATTTTTGTGAACTACTAATCTTATGTTTTATTTGAAAAGTGACCAAAAAGCTTAGAAAGCTTGAGTTGAGCACAATTTACTGGCTTCGTGCTATGTGATTAGCATCACACTGGCTGAGTGAGCATTAGCCCGGATATCACAGCAGAAAAGGAAGGTTAATGCGAGATTTCAAATAAATTTTTAATAGTTTAGTATAAGACGGTTTTTGATTCTCTACTTTGACAATTGCACTGACAGCAAACTCGTTTGTGTCTTTTTATCTTATTTTTGATACCGTCGGGAAAACGAGACATCGTTACTGCCATCAAAATAAAATATTTGCATTTATTTCGAAGCAAATCGTTTCTGCTAGTCTCTTTTGGGCATTATTATAATTGTCTTTCCGTTCTCGCTTTGCTAGAGTTTTCAAAGATGCAAGCAGAGGGAGACTTCATGCATATATGAACACTATTGTCAAAGACTTGCAAAACCATGTTTTTTTTGACTATCATGGTACGGTACATTATTAATTTTTTTTTATTAGTAAAGGGAATTGTTTGATTGGTATACATTATTCGGGTGAAGTCCTTCGTCAAAATTGTAGACAGGGAGATCTTAGTTTGGACGTCCTAATAATGCACCATTCCCCGCTGCATTGGCTCTTGGAAGCCACTTTATTCGCCAATCTAAGTCATTTTGGCTATTGCCAGTGGTCCAGAGACCTCAAAAACGGCGACATATTTTCGATTTGTTTCAGAATACAAGCTCGAATCGAAATCCGTAGATGAAAATAAATTGTCGCGTCTTATTGTTCATGAAGAGATTAGAATAAAATTTGGCACAAGCCATCAACCTAAAGAAAAAACGTCTCTTTTACATAAACGGGCGCGACATACGTGGAAAAGTCTTTCGATTACAATATTATTTCCAGGTAAGTAACTTCTCTGGATACTGTGATAGATTGAGTGTTATTCACTTGACCATCATACGTAACAACACCGCATTTTTCGCTGTGACGGAATATCCACAGTCCTTACCATAAGAAATACTAAAAAAAAAGTAATTTTTACGAGCGCAGTAGATTTTGATAACAGCACTACAGGATCACGCACAAAACATCATCGACATTTTTATTCTTATATCTATTGCAAAAGAGGTGAAGTAAGGTAATAAAAGCATTTCCGGTTATGCTGCACTGTAGGTGTGCCTATTGGCCGACCGAGCGACTATTCAACATAGGTGGGTAGATGGATGGACGAACAGACATACCTTGATTGGTTTAGAATTTGATATATATACGGAGTATATACACTGCTTAAGGTCCGTGAAGTTTATTTATTTATTTTTTTAATTTTCTTTCATTTTTAATTTAATCAATCGCCCAGGGAGTGCGCCTTTACGTACAAGACTGTCACGGTTGAAAAGAAGTACAGAAAGAGCAGCCCCGCGTGTCGTGCTTCTGCTGAATTCTGGGTTCTGCTAATATTTTGAACATACCCCTAGCCTTTGATAGCGGGTACAAAAGCTTCCGACATCAAACAAAGAAATTTCTTTAAAAACTTATCGTAGGCCTACGAATCAAGATGGTCCAGAAAGTTCTGCACAAAAATGTATCTTCAAATTTTCTTCGCATAGCTTTGTTAAGATATCTTTAGTTATTCTATTATATAATCTTAAAAATTTTATGAATTGCATCTTATCTTCATTTAATACATTTTAATTAAGTTAATACACATTTATATATAATTAATGATTATTGATACGTGAAGTATTGCTTAACCTTTTCAAATTCTTTTATTAATAATTTAGTAGATTTACTCGCTTGCCTATGTATGGTTATATAGTAATAATAATAATAATAAAAGCAATACCTTTGTAAATTGTAGATTGCATACGTTAAGGATAATGTATCAATAGACAAAGTATAATGACTTTGGGAAGGATGTGTGTGTATGCTTAGCAGAATGTTGAATGCTAACAACACAAATACGACCAAATACGTCGGACAATAATTTAACTAATGAACTTTCTTATCAAATCAAATTCACAATAGTGAAATGTTTACACTGACACATACACACAATAAAATTGATAGTGTTATTAAAATGTACACACCTTGAAACAGGACAAATAAAACCATTAAACTTTGCTTTGAATTCGACAAGGAAAGTGCTTAAAGCGAAGACCAAAAGTAATTTTAACTTGGTAAAGCAAAAAAAAAAAAACAAAAAAAAAAAAAAGAAAAAAAAAAAAAAAACGTACACCTGTCAAAGCTCGTGAGGGCTCAGACTTTCTTTAATTGTCGGATTGAGCGTAGAGGGAGGCTCAAATCGAGAAAGGCAGAGTATGAGAGGGCGAGGAGGTTAATGTGTACAATTAATTTGTAAGGAACTAAAGCTTGTTACGTTTTCCATATGGCCGAAGAATCAAGGACATGCAAGGCATTGGAAGTAATAAGAGTTACATGCAAAGCTAGTCATTGTATAGCAACACTTAACCTCTTTTGTATTTAGAGATATATATTTTGTGTGCATACACATACATGGACATATTGATTGATTTAGGTCTTCAAATTCCTTGTATATTTTGTTTTGAGAAAATGGCTGTAAAGTAAACTCCAACAATAGTGAAACGTTTATAAATTAAAAGAAAACTTTTCTCTCATGTTTCAAAGTCCATGTGTTTCAATTGCATTAAAAGGAACATTGGCTGCAAAAGGAAATGAGTGCAAATAAAAGTTTTAATAATCAGCCCTCTTTAAAACAGGCCCAAAAAGAGCGAAAGACCTGAAAAAGGGGGATGGAGAGAAAGACAGTAGAGAGAGAGAGAAAGCTAAAGAGAGTGAGAGTGAGAGAGAAAGAAAGAGAGAGAGAGAGAAAAAGCAATGAAAAAGAGAGTGAGCGAAAATTGTTTGTTTTTGCAAAATTTTACTAGAGTCTAACCAACCAACTGAACAACAACCCTCCTTGTGTACTGGTGGCTGACTGTTAGCAATGGTTCCGTTGGGTAGTTTTAAGAGTCTCTTCTTTTTGTTTTTTCCTTCTTTTTTTTCATATTAATTTTTTCTATTACGTTCTTGTTTTTTTTTTCTCTTATTTTCTATCTATGACGACTAGGTGTGCACGGGTATGTTTGTGTGTTTGTGTATGTCTCCTGCGTGAGTATGTTGAAACGATTTTGTTAAGTTGTGGAAAACCATTTTAGCGCAAAGTCTAAAAGAATTCCATTCAGCCAACCACCTTAGCTGCAGTTAGTTAGTTGTGTGACGAAAATCAACACAAATACAGGCAAAAGTGTACGCAAAAATTCATCGTAATAGTGGTAGTAATAGTAGAGTTGTTTCATTATGGTTTGGTTTTAGTTTTTTGTTTTTTTTTTGGTTTTTTTTTTTGTGTTTTCCTGTTGTTCAGGATTGGGGGTTAAATTGTTATACCGCATACTTTCTTACGCACATGCATAATAGTATAAAACAATGATCTCTGAAATCTACTAAAAACATAGAGCTCAATAGAATTTCAACTACTCGTGTATAGAGTGCAGATTGAACATATTTTCATACACCCGTACATACTATTCGCAATAACTAACGGACGAGTAAGCAAACGTTTGTTAACGGTTACGGTCACGACATTATACAAAAGAAATTTTCAATTTAAATGTAAAACGTTGATGATACCGAACGGACGTCTGACACGGTTACAATTAATAATTTTGAATAAAAGAAGAACCTAAATAATAATTGTTTTGCTTTCAAACGCTTATCAAAACAAACAGATTTCGAAACGAAAATTAAAATTTATTTAAGAATTAACATAAAAAAATTTGCAAAAAAATTAAAAGCAAAATATCAACAAAACATGAATTTATGTGAAGTGTTTCAAGAAATAAAATTTGAAAATTGTAGCAGAAATTGTGTCAACCTATAAAAAATTATTCATAAAAAGCATAAAATAAACTTTTTACTATTCGAAAACTACAACATAGGAAAATGTCTTCCTCTGAGCATGAAGTAGACATTAGCGTTGTTAGCAGTCCTGAGCCGAGTCCGACGGGTTGCGGTCCAGATGGTCGTGATAGTCCTATGCATTCAAATTCACCAGCACGTTCAGTTGGTGCCAGTACACCCAATTCAAATCATACCCCCACTTCGGCTCACGGTACACCAAACTCAAGTCGCACTTATCACAGTAGTCCACCTATTACAGCAGTACCGCCTACAGTTTTGCATCACCATTTGCAACATCATTTAAGCACTTTAAGTGGCGGTCATCCTGTCGCTTTACATCACGCTTTGCACAGTTTCGGTCACTTAGCGCATCCGGCTCATCAGCATCTATTACATCCGGCTGCAGTAACACCAACAGCTGGACAGTTTATTGGTACCGAACGTCTAAGTCCTCCTCCCATGGCCGCTGTAGCCCCCAAATCACCGGGATCTTCCTCTAATACCGAGGAATCTCAAACACAGCATCTTTCAAATTCGAATAATAATAACTCTAAAGTGGCCAATAACAACCATAACCATAATAATAACAATACTAATTGCGGCGATTTGAATAACTCTTCCGGTCAAAATAATTTACTGTTAGGCGGCAACAACGGCAACAATAATAACAATAGCAATAATAATAATAATAAAGTGACAACCGGTCATGGGTTTACCAGCTTTTCGATATCAAGCATACTTAGTCGTAATGAACCTGCCAAAAAAAACGGTCCAAATCTAATAACACCCATACCGCATTTACCGCCGGCCACCGTAGGGGGTGGTGGTCCTCAGGATGCCGCCATGCTATCGAGGTAAGTAAAGAAGAGAAAAGCATCAAAGTGCCAGCGCAAAGTTCGAAGAAAATATACTGAAGAGATGCTATGATATGAAGTGGAAAAGGCAAAGATAAACCAAATATAAATTTGAAAGCGTTCCACAGTACTTTTCAAAGTAGTTTTGCTTCCCTTCCATAAAGCAAGGAGACAATTGTCACTTTTAAGTGTATTGTCAGTGGGCAAAAACAAGGTTCCGATACTAATTTCGCGTAGGCCTTTCATTTAGATCGTGTGGTGTCACTTTAAAATTTTTAGGAGACAGCTTATACATCTAGCATTTAAATTTACTAAATTCAGACGAATTAGCCAACTAATGCCAAGTTACGATTTGATGCTGGCCTTTATCTAAGTTCTTAATGCAGTCGGATATTGCTTAGTTCAGAAAATTTACCCGTTGTTTTTATGCTCTACATAACTTGTTATGCAAGGGTGTCTTAACTCTGCACAGATGTACGCAACACCGAGAAGGGGTTGAGACAGACCCACCTTTCATTACACGGATCGAATAAGAATCACTTTTCAAAATCGATCGATTTGTCCGTCTGTCCATTTGTTCGGATGGATGCTATTGAAAATAATTTTTTCAGAAGGCCTTATGTAAATAAATGTAGGAGAGCCTTGGATATTTAATGATGGCCCGTGTCCTGTTATACTTGCTTTTTTTTCTTATAAGTTCAAGGAGAAAGTGAATCAACAAAATATACTTAACTGATTTCTTCAAACCCGATCAGAAATGGATAGAACTTGCCTTCAAGGATACTTCTAATGTTTGAATTCGAAGAGATGTTAATTTATTAGATGTTTCTGGGCATTTTTTCACTTGGTTTATTTGTTGGAATTCCAGTAAGAGAAACACCCCCTACTACACGGTAGAATCGATCCGAGTTGTATAATGATCCGCGTTGGATAATCATTTATTAACGCATACTTATCTATACATATTTTCTGCCTTTTTTTTGTGGATTTAATCATTATATTAACACTTGGAGCTAGAACTTGATACATCATAAAATCTGCCTTCTATATTGCCTTAGACTTTTTAACGAGTTGTACGAATACGGGGCGAATTTACTGTATTTTCAAGTGCTTCGCCATTAGGCAACAGCGAAAGACTATCGATCGCCTTTACAGAGGTTAGGCGAAATTGAACGATTTGTGATTCTTTTCCCTTGTAAATACACCGCAATATTTTTAAGATTAAGACGTCTGTTACGCGCTTGATTCCGGTTGAAATAGTTCACCAAATTGAATGCAAATTCTCAAATGCTCGGAAGATAAGATCCCTTTTTAATTACCACAATTGTTGGTGCTCGGTTCATATATATGTGAGAAGTAATAGAGATAAATCTTTCTGAAAGCTATGAATGATTCAATTTAAAACACACCCAGCAAATCCGTTTATCAATTTTTTTTTAATCTAATTTGAACTGAATACTAAATCTAATCTCGTCGAGATATAAATATTTAACAGGTTAAGAGATGCTCCATAGGCTTCACTTTAGGATTTCAAAATATTGAAATCATTGTCGATACTTTTTATTTCATGTCCACATTCGCTTTTATTTTATTTCTGAGCAAACTTTCGCTCAGATTGACCGTCAATGTCTTTTCCTAATTACTTATTCAAATCGAATTGCTGCTTTGAAAGCTTCCTATTAAAGCAACCTAAAAAGATAGTTTATCTGTCACCTTCCCGGCCATTTTCATCTATCAACATTTCAACATTTTGAAACATCCAACAACAAGTACAGGAATGCTTTGAGGAAAGGCTGTCTCGATGGATGTGTTGATATACAATTGAAAGGACGCAAATGAATTTGACAGTCCATCCTACAGACGGAGAGTTGAAATGTTTCCAATTCATTTTTAAGCTTTGGAGAAGATAGGAAGTAAGCCGCTTCATGAATTCATTTATAGGGTGGTGAGCACGTGAAACACTTAGAGGCAGATTTTTCGGTATAAACTGACGTCGAAAAATTTTATTGGTTTTCTGTTGAGGTTTGCGCTTTGCTTCTGGGATACGCCAGAAGTATAATGGCTGATCGACCTTTATTAATCTTATATGTTCCACACAGATGGTCCCCTTGCTCTTTCGGTAGAGTAACCGAACGAATAGCTCTCCACAATAATTGGTGCCATTGTCTCTACAAACACTGCCGTTACCTTCATATTTGCTTCAGATAGAAATTCTGTATTTCTAATCCACGGTGAGGTAGATTTATTCTTATGAGGATGGACAGCTTCTTGTAAAGCTTCAGATAACAGAGCATCGAAATGAGTGACTTCTGTAACTATCAGATGATCGCGCTTTTACGGATACTTAACACTTGCAGGCTAAACTTTCGAAAGTATGTAAAGCAAGTGTGGTTAGATATGGAATCAATTTGAGATACATTAGTTAATCTTAGTCCGTTTTTCATTTGTGGGGAAAAAGCGCTTATTTCTAGAGAAAAATAGAAAGTGCTTTTGTAAAATATTGTCTACCGAGAGCTACACATAAGAGCAATTATTTTTGTAACCATATATACGGCACCAACTTTTTAGGTATCCTTACCACCCAAAGTCGCTTTCGGCTAGGCGATCGATTTAAACTCTTGCTAATCAGAAAAAATAATTTTTGGCGGATATGACGCGAAAGTAGTATGTCTCAGTAAAATGTTTCCAACAGCCATCCGTTGTTTTGTCCCTAGTGATTGTCACGTTTGGCTGGAGCAACTCATAGACTTCACTCAGCTGATTTCGTCGTCTTTGGTGTTGTTTGTTCGCCTTTTCTGTATTATCATTAGTAGTTGAGTTATGGATATCATATAATATTTATTGTTTACCACCCGTCGAGATTCACCCAATCAAGTGGGAAAAGCGAGGCTTCTTTTGTTTTCGTGTTTCTTGGCCCAGAAATCATTCTATTCAAATCTCTAAGGAACTATGTCGTGTATTCTTTAGTGCGAAGCACCTAAATGTAGTGCCTTCATGCGGAGAGATCACAGATTGATAAATGCTGGCAGAAAAAGCAACAGCGTTTCTTAGGAAAACCGATCAAGAATAAGTTCTACATCTGGCATACAACATCAATGAAACGTTCGCGACTTTTTTTATTGTGCTTTTCAGAGTCGCAATAATTGACCTTACGAATAATCTGACACAATCAGCATTCCATTCCGTGGGTCGAACGTGACAAACACGATTAAAATTAATGAATGTATTCTTCCGAAATTTGCTTTTCATCTGCTTTTTATGAAACTAATGAGCAATTTTGCTGTCAACGCATACTAACTGAAAGAATTCTTTTCGAATGTTATGGCCCGCATTTGATCTCTGCGAGATTATTGACATGGCCAGGTTATGTTTAACACATAAAAATACCTACTTACGACTACCAAAGCTGTGAAATTTTTGGGTATCCCAGAGAGGACCAACGATATGATAAATGTTAATCGATATATCTGTACTGCCTGTGATGATGCTTCACATGCACGCTTTGTTAATAGAAGAAGTGATTTTCATAATGGGTCGTAGAGAATCGAAGTCGTTCGACATTTAAAAGTCAGCAAGTTCGCATTAATCGGGATTATTTTTCCTCAAGTAAGTTAAATGAATTTGGTCGACTAACTGCCGACTGTTAAGCGTTTGTTAGCTTCTTCCAACTCATCGGGAGAAATTGATCTTGTACTCTTTTAGGTAAGGTTGTGTACAAGTGAATTTTTGCTACATTCTAAGTGGATGGAGTAGTATCGCACCACCATCACGTGGCAGCTTAATATTAAGATTTAAGAATCTTGTATTTGGTAGCTCTTAAGACAGTAATAAACTTTATTATCATATAAGTAAAGATCGAAACTTTTATCAGTGCCGTCTTCACTGAACTTTATGCTATAAGGTTAATGGCTTAATATAAGAGATACTATCTGGGAGAGCTCTGCGTTTGGGATTGAACTTCTAAGAGTGATTTATTTATTTTAGGACTAATTCGTCTATTTTTTTTAGGATTTTGTAGCAATGTATGCTATAACCTATGTATGTCACATTCTGCTAGCTTTCAAGCGTTTTCAGTGAAATGAAAAAATCTTATTTTATAGTCATAACTGGCTTTTCCTAAGAGATATTACGATAAAGAACAATCAAGTACCCTTAGTCCCTTTTAATTTTCGATCTTTGTAAAAGTATTTATGTCGCATGTAATGTTCCAACATTTTTTTGGTCACTATTACTTATAAAAGAAGCTTTTAAAATATCTATTATCAATTTTTTTCTACTTGGCCCAGTTTTCGAAATACCTTTCCAGATCGATTGAAAATTGTCGCTTGCAAAATTGTTGTGAACTCCTCACACGCATCCTCACAATAGATTATAAACTGAAATTTCTCAATATTTTCGTCTATACCTTTTGATCCCGTGAAGAGATTTTCGAAAATTTGTGAACCAATATGCTTGCTCTGGGATCACATTCACATTCCATCCAAAAAATAGATTGATTGGTTTACTTTAAAGCGCGTTAGCACGTTCTTCATCGAATTCGAAAATAAATTAGGGATAGATTGCAAAAATATATATTGATATAAGTCCGCCTGATTGGCTGCCTAACAATTTTCAATAAAGCCAATATCCGCCTTGGTTGCCAGCACTTCAAGACTTTACTCTTAGAATCCATTTCTGTGGCTAAATTAGTTATAATAATAGTAAGGAAGAACATTATAATCGGGCAAGGCTGACTATTAGATACCCTACACAACCTCGCCTAAGACACTTACTCGTTTTGGTAATAGTACACGAAAAGTTACACATTATTTTCCTGCAAAGGCATGCTTTCCATGGAAGCTTGCATTTTGGAGGAATCTTTATATGCGGTGGCATCCAAAAAATAGACCTACATGATCCAAATTCGATAAAGTTGATGTCTACGGCAATTTTGCTAAATGGAAGAAGAGAGTGGTCGAAAAGGTGGACCGATCCAAAACAAATTTCATCGAAACATCTAC